AATGTCCTCTCACCTATTACAATTCACCAATACCACTGACAAGCTTTTCTCCAAAGTCCTCTCACCTATTACAATTCAACAACACCACTGACAAGCTTTTCTGCAATGTCCTCTCACCTATTACAATTCACCAATACCACTGACAAGCTTTTCTCCAAAGTCCTCTCACCTATTACAATTCAACAACACCACTGACAAGCTTTTCTGCAAAGTCCTCTCACATATTACAATTCACCAATACCACTGACAAGCTTTTCTCCAAATTGTCAGTGGTGTTGTTGAATTGTAATAGGTGAGAGGACTTTGCAGAAAAGCTAGTCAGTGGTGTTGTTCAATTGTTATACGTGAGAGGACTTTGGAGAAAAGCTTGCCACTGGTGTTGGGGAATTGTAATAGGTGAGAGGACAATTGTAATAGGTGAGAGGACTTGCAGAAAAGCTTGTCAGTGGTATTGGTGAATTGTAATAGGTGAGAGGACTTTGCAGAAAAGCTTGTCAGTGGTGTTGTTGAATTGTAATAGGTGAGAGGACTTTGCAGAAAAGCGGATTTGGTATAATATTTCTAGATATCCGACAATGTATTTTCTGAAAGTATAACAAACAGCTTTGAATCATTGATTTTATATTCAGGAATAAAAAATTAAGATGGAGAAAGACAAAAAATACACGGGAAAAAGCGAAATCAATGAATAAGTTATTTTCAAACAAAGCTTTGTGCGAAATATCAATGGATCGTTCCACTTAAAACATAAGCTCTCGCTATCAGAATTCGGTGGGTAGTTTGATGAAGAAATAATTACTCTACAAGAAATAACTTCTGAAATATTAAAATCCCGAATGTATTTAAATAAATTATACGATGATACTACAAAAAGACCAAACAGCTGGTAGGGTTTTTTAACGTAGACATTATAAGCATCAAGCATTATTATTTGTCTGATGCTGTTAAGCACAAAGATACACAATGGGCTATCTGTGCTCTGCCCACAACGGGTATCGAAACCTGATTTTTTATCGTCATAAGTCTGCTTATTTATCGCTGAGCGGACGAGGTAATAAAAAAGCATGATAGCTGATAAAAAACAAGTGATCCCATGAGAAACTAGTTACCGATGATATAGAGATTGAATACTTTATCTCTACATGAGCAAACTTTGAAACAAACGAATAAATACTTAGTAACAAAATAAACGATGAACACATTTTCATAAAAAAGTTTGTGTCTGAAGCAAATACTACCTCATTATTTAGGTCAGAACTAGGCACTAGACAGAATTCCTGTTTTTTTTTGTTTTTTTTTATATTACGAACCCAAAGAGCTAAAAACCCGTGTTCTACGTTATGAGGAATAGACACGTGTTTTGCAGAAAAGCTTGTCAGTGGTATTGGTGAATTGTAATAGGTGAGAGGACTTTGCAGGAAAGCTTGTCAGTGGTGTTGTTGAATTGTAATAGGTGAGAGGACTTTGCAGAAAAGCTTGTCAGTGGTGTTGTTGATTGTTGGATACCTAGAGATACTATACCAGCTACATTGTTGGATATCCAGAAATACTGTACCAGCTACATTGTTGGATACCTAGAGATACTATACCAGCTACATTGTTGGATATCCAGAAATACTGTACCAGCTACATTGTTGGATACCTAGAGATACTATACCAGCTACATTGTTGGATATCCAGAA